AAATTGTCCCGCAGTGCCCAGGGATGTGCAGGTTAGGGTGGATTGGCTGTACTAAATTGTCCCGTAGCCCAGGGATGTGCGGGTTAGGGTGGATTGTCCGTGGGAAATTGCCCTGTAGTGCCCAGGGATGTGCAGGTTAGGGTGGATTGGCCGTGATAAATTATCCCGTAGTGCCCAGGGTTGTGCAGGTTGGGGTGGATTGGCTGTGCTAAATTGTCTCGTAGTGCCCAGGGATGTGCAGGTTAGGGTGGATTGGCCGTGGGAAATGCGGGTTTACAGGGATAGAGTAAGGGGTGAGTTTGGGTGGGATGCTGTCCAGAGGGTTGGTGTGGACCTGTTGGGCCGAATGGCCTGTTTCCACACAGTAGGCGTTCTATGAAATCGACCTGATCTGAATTTGGAACTGGCATGATTTGATATTGTCATGGCTTAAAATAGTCTAGATTTGACATTCACGTAATCTGAAATAGGCAAGGTTTGAAATTGAATTTGACATCATCCGAAACAGTAACTTTTTTAGGAATTGCCCTATTGCAATTGGAAGGGTGGAAGCTGGGCAGGAAATTCTTTTGTCTAAGGGTTTGCTTTGTGTGTTGCTGTTGCTGACTGAAGCTCTCTCTGTCGTGCTGTCAGTCCAGGGCTGAAAGGGTTACAGGTGATGTCAGTAATCTCTCTCTTTCTTTCTGTCCCTCTCTCTCTCTCTCTCTCTCTCTTTCTATCCTGGTTCTCCACCCTGTCTCCCTTCCCTTCACTTCTTTCCCCTCCCTCCCTGGTGTCTTGGGGGGTGGGTGCTGTGTGTGTGTGTGTGTGTTGGTGGGGGATGGTGGGTGCTGTCTAGATGTTTGAATTGAGATGGCTGCAGAGAACAGAGGGGACTTGAGCCAGACTAGGAGCACGGCGACTGCCCCAGCCAGCAGAGACATGCCCCTGAAAAGCGTCAGCAACTCGGTGTGTAGCCCAGCCAGCAGCCTGATCAATAGCCTGATCAATAGGCACCCTGCCAGTGCCAAGCCTCCTGCCATCCCCATGAAGGACCAGGACGCGATCAAACTGTTCATTGGACAGATCCCGAGGAACCTGGAGGAGAAAGAGCTCAAGCCCCTGTTTGAAGAATTTGGCAAAATCTATGAGCTGACGGTTCTGAAAGACAGATACACCGGCGTGCACAAAGGTGAGAGAATTAATTGCCTCCTAACCTGACCTAGGGGCGGGGTGGGCTGCATTGATCCTTCAGTCCTACACAACTTGAGCATTTCTGGATAGGAAAAGACAAACTAAGCCTCCACAAAACGTCTTTCTCCCCCCACACCCAGCAACACCCAGATGGGGATATAGACACGTTTTCTGTTGTTATTTCACAGGAAGATACAAAGCAAAATACACACCTTTAATGCTAATAACACACACCTTAATGCTAATAACACACTTTGAAGATAAATTAGAGATGTAAAGCTTTATTGTTGGAGAAAAAGACAATGTATAGATTATAAAACACACAAAGGAAGCAACTTAAACAATGCTGATAACACAGTTTAAGGGTACAATAGAGGTATAACGCTTTATTCTTAGGAAAAAGACAGCGTATAGATTATAAAACACAAAAGAAGGATCTTAAGCAATGCTGATAATGCAGTCTAAAGATACATTAGAGATGTAGAGTTTTATTGTTAGAGAAAAAGACAGCTTATAGGTTATAAAACACAAACCACACATCATAATGCTAGTAACACATTTCAAAAATAGATTAGCAATACAAAGCTTTTTTATTTAAAAAAATATAGTCAGTGTACAGGGAGATACAAGACAAAGCACAAATGTATACTTTAAAAATAGATCAGTGGTGAAGACATCCCCTGTTGGCAGAACCGTACACAGACAATGAATGGGAAACGCTCAGTCGGAGAGTATCAGTGAGAAATTCAAGTGGATGTGGGACATGAAAGGGTTCAGACAAAGAGATGGGAGATCTGTGACATGGGGGTGTTCCTGGGCTGTGAGGAGAGCTGTGTGGGGGTCTGTTTAACTGATGGTTTGTACAGCAGCCAGTCTGAATCCTGCTGGAGTAACACTGGGGGCAGGTCAAGGGAAGGGGGAAGGCAGCTGGGCAGGATCACAGTAGCTACAAACAGGCACACACACATTACTCTCTCTCTCACACACACATACAGACACACATTCTCACTCTCACACACACCCTCTCTCTCTCTCTCTCTCTCACACACACGCGCACTCACACACGCGCACACACACACACACAATATTCTCTCTCTTTCACACACACACACAGACATTACTGTCTCTCTCTCTCTCTGACACACATTGTCACTCTCACATACTCTCTCCCTCTCGCTCTCTCTCTCTCTCTCTCCGTCTTACACACACACACAACTCTTTCTCTCACACACACACACAGACACACAATATTCTCTCTCTCTGTCTCTCTCTCTCACACATATACACACAGACACACACACTGCTCCCTCTCTCTCACACACATTCTCACTCTAACACATACCCTCTCTCTCACACACACACGGTACTCTCTCTCTCTCTCTCACACACACACACACACACACACACAATCTCTCGCACACACTCTCTCTCACACTCTGTCTCTTTCTCACACGCACAAAATGGTCATAATGTGCTTCTGTCTGTTAGGAACCAAGAAAGCAGACTCTGATCCAGGTAGTGGCTTGGCACAGGAATATAGACCTGCAATTTCAGGTGGCTGCGCTTTGCAGCCTTCTGTCTGAAATTGTTAAGATGTGTACTATTTTTAAAACACATATACTCAAAGAGAAGGCTACCAGATGTAGGGCTAGCTCACGTGAAATGCTGCAGAGCTATTTAAAAGAAAATACAGAATTTGTGAATGAAAGGGCACCAAAGTGAGACCGTGTTGTTGAGAGAACAGGCAGCAGGAAACGGGCAGAGTTTATTCCCCAACCCCTCTTCAATTTGTTTGTTTAAGATTCCAGGATGAGGAAAGGAGAGTTTTCATGGCCTCCCATACTATTCTTTTCACCCAGGACAGTGTTTTTTTTTGTGTTCTTGCATCCTGCATGTGCAAGCAGCTGGGATTGGAAGGGAGAACGTCGTGTGGGGAGTAGGTGGGAGAGTGGGAAGAGGGTGACAAACTGAACAGGAGACCAGGAGGCAAGAGGGACTGGGTGGGATTTGAGGAGCAGAGCGCTTGATTTATTTTCGGGGCCATTGGCTAGGTTCTGAATTGTTTGTGGGGGAGAGCGAGGCAGGAGGCTCCTTGGAAGGATATCTGAATACCTTTGTGGGTGATTTTGAATGGCAGACAGTGACACCTCCCAGGGCCGAGACAATGCAGGAGGAAGGGAGACTGCAAAATATTAGCTGTGTGAAATAAGACAGTGATGTTCACTTGGTCTTTAAAGAGAATGGATTATATCTGTGTCTGTGTGTGTGTGTGTCTGTGTGTCTGTGTGTGTGTGTGTGTGTGTGTGCGCGCGCGCGCGCGCGTGTTTGTGTGTGTTTGTATATACACGTCAGTGTGAGAGAGGAGACAGGAGAGCAAGCTGCTCTAATTGAGACTGGCTCACTGTGGACCCGTCAGGCTCTGAGGTCAGTTATACCCTCTCTATAGTTCGACCACATTTGGAATACTGCGTACAGTTCTGGTCGCCACATTACCAAAAGGATGTAGATGCTTTGGAGAGGGTGCAGAGGAGGTTCACCAGGATATTGCGTGGTATGGAGGGCGCTAGCTATGAAGAGAGGTTGAGTAGGTTAGGATTATTTACATTAGAAAGACGGAAGTTGAGGGTGGACCTGATTGAGGTCTACAAAATTGTGAGAGGTATAGACAGGGTGGATAGCAAGAAGCTTTTTCCCAGAATGGGGGACTCAATTACTAGGGGTCACGATTTCAAGGTGAGAGGGGAAAAGTTTAAAGAAGATATGTGTGGAAAGTTCTTTATGCAGAGGGTGGTGGATGCCTGGAACGCGTTGCCAGCGGAGGTGGTAGAGGCAGGCACGATAGCGTCATTTAAAATGTATCTAGACAGATACATGAATGGGCAGGGAGCAGAGGGATACAGATCCTTGGAAAATAGGCGACAGGTTTAGATAGAGGATCTGGATCGGCACAGGCTTGGAGGGCCGAAGGGCCTGTTCATGTGCTGTAATTTTCTTTGTTCTTTGTTCTTTGTTCTACCCTCCCTCCTCCACTCTGTTACTGCTTTGTTACTGTTTGTGTTATAGAGTCCTACAGCACGGAAACAAACCCTTTGGTCCAACTTGTCCATGCCAACCAAGTTTCCCAAACTAAACTAGTCCTACTTGCCTGCGTGTGGCCTATACCCCTCCAAACCTTTCCTACTCATGTACCTGTCCAAATGTCTTTTAAGTGGTGTAACTGTACCTGCATCTACCACTTCCTCTGTCAGTTCCACGTACGAACTACTCTCTGTGAAAAAACTGCCCCTTAGGTTCCTTTTAAATCTTTGTCCTCTCACCCTGAAACTATGCTGGCTGGTTTTGGACTCCCCTACCTCGGGGAAAAGACCTTCCCCATGTCCATGCCCCTCATGATTTTATACACCTCTATATGGTCACCTCTCCACCTCCTACGCTCCAGTGAGAAAAAAGTCCCAGTCAATCCTTATACCTCAAAACTCTCCAGCCTCAGCAACACCCTGGTAAATCTTTTCTGAACCCCCCCCTCCAATTTAATAATATCCTTCCTATAACAGGGCAATAGTATTGCAGTGATCCGGGGCTGGCTTATTGAGCCCTTGCCAACCGGCTGAGGCCACAGGCCACACCCTCTGTCTGTGCCAACTCAAAGGGCACCACCAGATGACTGCCATCTCCTCCCCCCACCAATACACTGGAGGAGAATGTGTCAGCTCAAGTGCTTACATTAGGAGTGGGGGTGGTGGAGGATTAACCTGTTATAAACAAAAAGCAGCAGCAAATAAAGTTGGGGACACCTTTGCCACTGACTCCCTGCATCGTGGCAATAAATAAGACCAAAAGACATAGGAGCAGAAATTAGGCCATTCAGCCCATCGAGTCAATCATGGCTGATATGTTACTCAACCCCATTCTCCCGCTTTCTCCCTATAACCCATGATCCCCTTGATAATCAAGAACCTATCTATCTCAGTGTTAAATGTACTCAATGACCTGGCCCACACAGCCTTCTGTGGCAGTGAATTCCATAGATTCACCACTCTCTGGCTGAAGAAGGTTCTCCTTATCTCCGTTTTCATAGGTCTTTTTGAGGAAGTGAAGTGGCTGTGGTGTACGTGTGTAGGAGATGAGGGGGGGTTAATGTTGAGGGTACAGTGGGAGTGTCACTGAGCTGGGATTCCAGGCTAACTCCCAGGGGACAGAGGTAGTAGCTGGTGGAATTTAAATCTCGGATTGAAACCCCCATGACAACCATCGTTTGATTGTTGCAAAAATCCATCCAGTTCACTCATGCCCTTCAGGGGAAAGAAAATCTGCCCAGTCCGGGCCTACACGTGACTCCATTCCCCGCACAACAATGGATTTGTACCGATTGTTTAACAGGGCTAGCCGGGTGCATTCTCATAGAATCTGAGTTCCCTGATTGGGGCTGTTAACCTGGCCCAATTGGGGAGCCCTGGCTGACCGATAATAAAACAGGAGTGTCAGGGCCTCTTGTGGTACAGTGATAGTGTCCTTGCACCTGAAATGAGAGGCCTAGGTTGAAGTCCCACCTGCTCCAGAGGTGTAAAATAACATCTCTGTACATGGTGATTTAGGTCAGAAGTCATGCGACACCAGGTTATAGTCCAACAGGTTTGTTTGAACTCACAAGCCTTTGGAACGCAGCTCCTTCATCAGGTTGATTAGGAAAATAGGTAAAATAAATAATTTCTTTAAAATTCTGCATTGTCTACCCAAAAGAGAACAGGAGTGTCAGAGGTTCTGTTCGCTCTGAGAGCTGGCTCTGAGGGAGCCGGATCAGTGTCAAGGACTCTCCACGTGTAAATAAAGGGTGACCTGATGACAGGATACCAACCTCTGTGGAGTTATTTCAGGCGTTGACTCTTAGCTGTCCTCTGAAATGGCCCTAACCATCTGCTGAGTTGAGGGGCAATTAGGGACGGGTGACAAACGCTGACCCACATCCCATGAAAGCATAAAGTACGTGTAGCAAGGCAGCGAGTAGAGTGAGAGATCAGGGTAATTGTGAGAGAGAGCCCAGAATTTATGGAACTAACTAGCGAGCTGGAAGGGGGGGTCAGCTTTGTGGTTACACCACATCTGGAGTAGCTGTCTTGGAAATGAGGGAGATATGGAATATCCATGAGATACTGGAAGGGGTATGGACATGAACCAGACTTGTATTCCATTGGAAAGTAGAAGGCAGTTGGAGAGAGGTTTGCAGTCGAGATTTCGAAAGACGAGGAGAAGACATTCCCAACTGGCACCTGAGACAATTGAACATAACCTTTCAATCCGTTAAGAACTGAAGCAAACCAAAGGGAGGTGGTTGGAAGATGAAAAGTCCCCACAACGAAGTAATAGATGCTGGCTCCACCAATTTCTAGTCCTGGATCAGTACATTTTCACTAGCTAAAGGTGTTCAGTCAAGAACAGACACTTGAAGTTCAGATACAACTCAACTACGATCTAGTTCCAGATGCTTAATGGACTGCCGTCTTCGTGGAGAGGAGTTTATATTCTCACAGGACGTGGACATCAGTTAGCAAGGCCAGCATTTGTTCTAAATGAAAACTGAAAGAACTGCAGGTGCTATAAATCAGGAACAAAAAGAGAAGTTGCTGGAAAAGCCCGGCAGGTCTGGCAGCATCTGTGAGGGATAAAACAGAGTTAACGTTTCGGGTCCGGTGACCCTTCGTCAGAAGTGTTCCGAGGAAGCGTCACCGGATCCGAAACGTTAACTCTGCCTTTTCCTTCACAGAAGCTGCCAGACCTGCTGAGCTTTTCCAGCAACTTCTGTTTTTCTTTCAGCATTTGTTCTAACTGGACAGAACAGTTAGGGCCATTTCAGAGGGCAGTTAAGAGTCAAGCGCATTGCTGCAGGTGCAGATATCTGATTTAGTTCTCTAAAGAGCCAGCTGTATGTGTTTTTATGACAGTCGATGATAGTCCCAGGAGCCAAGACTGAGAGAAGCTCTCAATCCCAGATTTATTCATTGGAATTCAATTTGCACCAGGTGCTGTGGTGGGATTTGAACCCATGCCCACCATATTAGACTGGCCCTCTCTATGACCATTCCGCCATCGCCTCTCTGTTGCAATGAAGGCATTGAACAAAGAGAGGGGGTATGAATAAGGTTGGAGTGAGAGAGATGGGGAGGTAAGAAGGTTTGCTTGTAAGAGACGGAGAATTGGTAGCCATGCAGTTGGATTCAGGTAAATGGGGACTGTAGTGATTAGATCCAGGTGGATCTTATTGAGTACAAGATCCTTGATTGGCATCATTAACCTGGGCCAATCAGGAAAGGCCTAGCTGACCAACATAAACAAGGGATTGAAAATCTTGGAGACTGGCTGTGGCCAGCCAGCTCAGAGTCAATGTACTGTGCACAACTAAATAAAGGGTGACTTGGTGATGGGCCACCAGTCTCTGTGCAGTCAGGGACTAACAGGGTAGATGTGTGGTTGGAGAGCATGTTTCCTCTTGTGGGAGAGTCTAGGATCAGAGGGTGTAATCTCAGGTCGCCCATTGAAGACAGAGATGGGGAGGAATTTCTTCTCTCCGAGGGGAGCGAATCTGTGGAATTCTTTACCGCAGAGGGGCTGTCGAGGCTGGGTCACTCAGGATTAAATCTTTCCTCCTATTCAGTATGTTGAAGGCTGAGCTCGAAAGAGTTTGAACCAGTAAGGGTTCGGGGCGGGGAGAAAGTGGGGGGCTTGAGGATGATCAGATCAGCCATGTTCTCGGGTGGCGGAACAGACTCAATGGGCTGAATGGCCTACTTCTGCACCCTCAGGTTAGACAGCCACGTCTGACAGTGAGACATTGGGGCCCATCACAGCCAAGGGTGCAGTCCACCCGCACGCCGTGCCTCAGGGTATCGGTTAATTACGTGGTGTCCTTCGTATTTTCTAGAATGTAATTGTTGGTGAGTTTGACAGGAGGCTACAGCCAGACGCCCAGCGTGGTGTTTCGTGTGGTGCCACTGCCTGACAGAAGGCTCGTGAATCTCCTGTGCCTTTCTCTTCCTCACTGCAAAAACAGGCTGCTGCTCGGGAACCTCCTGACCCCTCTCCCTCCCTGGACTCTGCCAACGTGGCACAATGGACTGTGCCAGTCATCCCTACCACTCCTCTCCCAACCGCCCCCTTTTTGTCATTTCAGAATTACCATCTCATCCCCAACAAGCGAACACATTGACAAGGGCTTTGGGCTGGGAGCTCAGGCAGACAGGAAGTAAAATAGCCCGTGTCCGATTTGCTGTGTCAGGGTATCTTGGGGGTAGACCGGGCCATATCTATCGAGCTGAGATATACACGTAGTGTAAAACAGAGAAGAGGGAGAGAGCAGTGCATGTTTCCGATTGGGGGTATTCTCCTGCAAAGGCCAAGCCCCATCACTGTCAGCATGCACACACGCAGAACAGTCACCCGCTCTCTGTCACACTTTCATTCTCTCTTTCTCACACTGACACACTCTTTCTCTCATACACACACACACACACACACACACTCTCTCACTCACACACACACACTCTCTCACACACAGTGTCTCACACATACATTCTCTCACACACACAATCACACATGCTTTCACTCACACACACACACACACACACACACACACACACGCTCTCTCACACTTATGCTCTCTCTCATGCATGTGCTCTCTCACACATCGTGCTTTCTCACACACACACTCACTCACTCTCACACATGTGCTGTCTCCCACACACACACTCTCTCTCAGACTCATTCTCTCTCTCACGCACATTCTCTCATAAACACACTCTCACATATACTGTCGCTCTCACACACTGTCTCTCTCTCTCTCTCACACACACTCTTTCTCTCACACACACACACATTTTCTCACTCACTCTCTCTCTCTCACACACTCTCTCTCTCTCACACACTCTCTCTCTCACACACACACACTCTCTCTCTCTCACACACACACTCTCTCTCACACTCTGTCTCTCTCTCACACACACTCTCTCTCTCACACACTCTCTCACACACACTCACTCTCTCTCTATCTCACACTGTCTCTCACACACACACTCTTTAACACTCACACAAACACTGTCTCACACACTCTCTCACACACACACACTGTCTCACACACTCACAAACACACACACTCTCTCTCACAAATACACACACTCTCTCTCACACACTCTCTCTCTCTCACATACACACACTCTTTCTCTCACACACACTCTCTCACACACATATACTCTCTCTCACACACACTGTCATACACACAGTCTCACACACACACACTTTCTCTCACACGCACACTCCCTCTCCCCTCTCACATGAACACACTCACTCTTTTTCACACAATCTCATACACATTTGCGCTTGCACTCTCACTGACTCACACTTGTACACACATACATGAGATCACTAACGCCCTTCAGGGAAGGAAACTGCCCTCCTTACCTGGTCTACATGTGACTCCAGACCCACAGCAACGTGGTTGATTCTTTACTGCCCTCTGAAACAGCCAAGCAGGCCATTCAGTCGTACCAAACCACTCCCACATTGAAAGAAAGAAATGAAATTGGAAAGATTTCACTCTTACACTCTTACACACATGCAGGCAAACCCACATACAAATACACGTAGACACACATACACAGACAGACATAGTCGCACACTTACACACAGGCACATACAAATACACTTGGACACATGCACAGACAAACACACACTTACACACAGACACGTACAAATACACTCTGACACATGCGTGCACAGACACACACATACACAGAAAAACACACACACAAACGTGCGTGCGTGCACGGTCACACAGACCAAAACCCCCCCAGACACGGACCCAGTCTCTCACACATATACCCTCCCCACCTCGCTCACCTTCCAAGTGGAACTGAGAAACTAAGAGAGGGGGCACATGTTGCCAACTCAGGTTTGGCTTATTTCTGGAGGTTTTGCAGTGTGATCCTCTCCCCCCGCAACTCCTTGTTACCCCACCACCCCCCCCACTTCCCACCACCCCCCCCAACCACTGATGGGGGCACACAACCAGCCGCAGCTCCTCTCCCGGTGACCAGTCGGTAATCCACTTGCCGCAGCTTGCCTGGTGTTTTACGATGCGGTCATTCCAGCCGGAGGTGAGGGTTAGCCAGCATCTGGGTGTGTGTGCTGTGGGGCATTTTAAAATGTGTGCCTGTGCGCTGCTTGATACCTTCATTGAGTTGTGTGATTTGCGGCTTGTTCTGACCCGGTTCCTTTCCGATTTCTCCTTTGGGATAAAGGATGCGCCTTCCTCACATACTGCTCGAGGGAATCTGCGTTGAAAGCACAGACTGCACTACATGAGCAGAAGACGCTGCCTGGGGTAAGTGTAAACGATGGTTTGAAATATTATTACCAGGAGACAGCAGTTTTTTTTGTTATTCACTTGTGGGATGTGGGCATTGCTGGCTAGGCCAGCATTTCTATTGCCCGTCCCTAGTTGCCCCTTGAAAAGGTTGGGGGCAGTGGAGTGGCAAGCTGCCTTCTTGAACTGCTACAGCCCACCTACCGTGGGTTGACCCACATTGCCCCCAGGGAGGGAATTCCCAGGATTTTGACCCAGCGACGCTGAAGGAACGGCCGATATATTTCCAAGCCAGGACGGTGAGTGGCTCAGAGGGGAACTTGCAGGGGGTGGTGTTCCCATGTATCTGCTACCCTCGTCCTTCTAGGTGGAAGTGGCCGTGGATTTGGAAGGTGCTGCCTGAGGAGCCTTGGTATGTCTTGTAGATGGTACACACTGCTATTACTGAGAGTCGGTGGCGGAGAGAGTGGGCGCTTGTGGATGTGGTGCCAGTCCAGCAGGGGCTGCTTTGTCCTGGATGGTGTCGAGCTTCTTAAGTGTTGTCGGAGCTGCCTCCATCCAGGGCAAGTGGGGGGTATTCCCTATGATGTGTGCCATGTGGTGGGCAGGCTTTGGCGGGGGTGGGTGGTGTCAGGGGGTGAGTCATTCACAGTATTCCAAGCCTCTGACCTGTTCTTAAAGCCACTGAGTTTATGTGGTGGGACTAGTTCAGTTCCTGGTCAATAGTAACCTCAAGGATATTGATTGTGGAGGTTTCTGTGATGGTAACAGCGTTGAATATCAAGGGAGCGATAGTTAGGTTGTCTGTTAGCGGAGATAGTCATCACCTGGCATTTGTGTGGTGTGATTATCAGTTACCACCAGCCCAAGCCTTCAGTCTTCACTTTAATAGGACTGATCTCATTTTTCACAGGATCGGGGCACCGCTGGTGAGGCCAGCATTTGCAGCCCATCCCTAATTGCCCCCTTTGAGCTGACTGTCTCGCCGGGTTCATTAGAGAGGGCAGTTAAGAATCAACCCCATTGCTGTGGGCCTGGAGTCACCCAGACTGGGTAAGGACAATAGATTTCCCTCTGTAAGGAGTTGGGAGGGGGGCATTAATGAACCAGCTGGGCTTTTCTGATAATTGAGACCAGCTTCCAATTTCAATTTTTTTTTAATTCATTCAATTTGAATTCCACCAGGAGATGGATGGTGGTGGGATTTGAACTCATGTCCCCAGCAAATTAGCCTTGGCCTCTGGATTACTGTGCTGCATTTATTAGAGCAGGCAAGGTTAAGCGGGGGGATTTCACAGGGAGCAGAGTGCAAAGTACCTGTTTTTTAAGGACTAGTTACTATTGTGGGCCATTTTACCCTCAGTCACTGGGTAGAATCATTTTTCCCAGTTCTGAACAGCACCTGTCAGAGCCCTCAGAGAGGCTGCAGAGGGAGATTCCACAGAACCAAGCCAGGGGTGAGGGACTTGAGCTATCTTGGAGGGGGTAGGGGGAGCCCAGGAAAAGAGTGCTCAGAGGAGGACAGAGCACATAGACAGAGAGAGGGAGGCAGACAAACAAGGCCACAAGGCAGAGAGACTGGAAGTCAGAGAGTAATCAGCAGGCTAGACAATATCTCCCTCTATCCTATCTCGATAGTGTGACACATGGGGTTTGAGGTGGGATGCCCCAAACGATGAAAGAGAGTTAGAGAGACCTCCCCAAATGTAGGAGGCTGAGAGAGCAGGGGTTAGAGAAACCTCCCTAGATACAGGAGTGTGTGAGAGAGAGGGGGTTAGAGAGACCTCCCTAGGTACAGGAGTGTGTG